ATCTAATTTCGGCATTTCCGCATTTCCAGTACTATAATGGTTTGATGCACGTGCAAGATGTACTAGATCAACTCTTCAGGAGTTTCGTATAAAGGAGTGTTAATTCTTGAATATTCATTTTCTGCGGACTTTCATACATCATATATTAATTATAAAACCTTATGCTTCTAGCATTAAGGAGTCAGTCATTCCCTAGGGAATTTGCTTACTTTGTGGTTCATTTATATATATACAAATTGGTCACTCCATTATTAATATAAATTTCGCTTGGCAGAAATATAATATGAACTTCAAGTTTGATTTTTATTGCGTGGTCTCCAATAATGAAAACATTAATATTTCGCATATTTCACGGCATTAATAAACTTATGCTTATATCTCCCCCTAATGCCGTGAAAACATCTTCATATATTATGCAAAACACGTACCGAGTAATAAATTGATCCCCTGGTAATGGCCTCTAGGTATTAAAAATTCGACGGAGTATAAAATTCATAGCATACCTAGTTTGTAATATAGGCCCAAAAAGGTACGAATTGGTGGTGATATAAAATATTGCATAATAAAATAACAATAAATTGCAGATGGGAAATGTTCGATTCTCCACGCATTTTAGGGGGAAATTATCATAAATAATTGTCCAATATGATCCAACTGCTCATGCTAATTATCAAATATATAAGTTGGGCATCAAAGTATAATAATCATTTCTAAGTGAACACTATATGCTTCAGGCACTACAACTGTACTTTGCTTGTGAGCCTTTTATTGTAGCTATCAACCATTTATGTGCTTCGGGCACAACATATAAATATATTATTGTAGCTATCAACAATATAAGTCAGTGGTATGCATCTTATCAAATATACAAGCAAACATAAATAATTTCAGAATACTTGTGTATAGATTCAATCTATGTAACATTCTGGTTACATAACTTCATTAAGAGTATATTGAATATGCAGAGCTGATCTAAAATCAAAAGACCATGAATTTATCCAAAAATCAACGAGATTATTTACTAGATCAATCTTTCAAAGATACTGGCTAGATAATTTTTATGCGATTATTATATTGGTCAACCTGACCAATCATTCAGGGATATCCAAATCTAGGTCAATAAGGTATTCAAATTCACTAGCCATACTTTAATTATATAATCCTTCTGGGAACTCAAATCTATAAGCATAAAATTCAACAGGATATTTGCTCTGCAATTCATCATGATAGGATTAAAAAAAATAACTATACAAGTTGCATACAATTCATTTGGTTCATCAGTCAATTAGACTAAAGTTCAAGATATTCAAATTGATATATGCCCAATAAATTTGGATCACGTCCATACTCAATTCGCATGTTAAAATTAATCCACATAAGATATATAATATTTTTTTCATTCATCATCGAAAATAATCCTTACCAGAGGATAATGTCTGCTACATATATCTTACGTGCGTTACCACTTTCAAATTTTAACAAGTAATGTGAAGAATGATATGATATATGCAAACAAGAGATGCTCATATACAAATAAGGACAATTAAATCAAGGAAATATATAGTCTTATAGAAGATAGATAATTTTCTATCATATATCTCACATAAAAAAAATTATACTTTTGTATATGTGTTTCTGGCACTAGTACAATCTCAATGAAAAACTTGTATATCACTATTTTTAATATATTGTGTCCATTAGTATTGATTTGGTTGGATTTCATTATTCTCATGTATTACTTCAGGAATACGAACTGTTCATACCAGATCATAAAATATTCAATATCATCTTAATTCAAAATTAGTCAACAAGACTTACTCACAGTGTAGTCATTATTATATTTTGATACTTGTATTGGTGTTGATCCTGCAGGGAGTATACCAAAACTTTTTTTTGAATTTATGGGAGATACTTACGTCGATGATGATCCATCGGGGAGTATATAAAAACATTATCGTTAACTTGTAAAAGATCCTTCAAGGAGTGTATAAGAAATTCGTTGTCGACTTACAAGCTATCGACAAGTAAAACATTGTTCTAATTATTCTATCCATCAATATTTAATATTAGTGTCCTTCTGGGACTACTAGTATTCAATTGAAACTTATAAATTTGGATAGATAGATACTGCACTATTCCATAATTGCACAATTCTATCTTCTAATCCAACCATATTACAAAGATGATCATAAATTGAGTTGTACAACATATCTAATTTATATCCAATATTTCCACCACTTTTTATATATAATCTTTCTCTCATACAAAATAGACATACTTAGAAGATCACATGAATTTTTGTAGCACTAAAAACATTAGACACAAATACTTTTCAAAATTTTCAAATCATGTCAGTGAAATTAAAATCTTGCTGATTATATAATGCGTCCTTCAGTCCATAATATTCAAACGAACATATAATATTTCAATAATAGACAAGTTTCACGATACACAAAGCCACCAGTGTCAAATAATTGCCAATAAAATAACAACAACACTAATATAATCAATTATATTCACGATACACTATTCACAGAAGCAAAGTATTGAATCCAATAATGTCCAGAAATGACTCTTGCGGCAATTTCATCTTACGAATTTAATATTCACAAGAAGAGAATGAACAACAGGATTACAATTATTTTAATCAATCGTCATATGATCGCAACCTTTAATCGGCAATATAATTAAGCATAAACACATGTTCTGATACCACATGTAAGAAATTTAACGGGTATATTCACAAACAATTAGGCGGAATCGAATAAACCCTAAGCATGTAATTCTATCAATTCATATAATATGGATCTTTTGCATAATTAAATTGCACATAGAAACTTACAAGAATCCATTATAGTCCATAATAATGAATTTGTAAAGTCACCATGTGGGCCATAACAAATACATCAAGATAAATAATTCATATGGGAATTGAATGTTATCAAATCGAATTCAGCAAAAGAAAATTTGAGTCATTGATATATTTGGAAGGCACGGATAACAAAATCGCATACTTATCATTATCATCCAATAAAGAGGCCATTGGTGTCGAGTAGATCAAACACAATATTAAGTAGATCTATTCAATAGCGTAAATACACATTAAATTATTTATTCACATAACTCATACAAAAATCATCAATCTAATCGTTTAGAGATAAATAAATATAATTAAAATTGATAATAGATCATTATTGATATTGAATAGATCTTGAATGTTATCTTGACAGAAAAGACAAGATTCCTTTCTAGGGCATAAATCAATTGTTGATTGTTACCTTGATTGCTCGTTTGTCTTGATGTCGCCGTCGTCGTTCGCTTAGATGGTAAAGTACTCATGCCGCCGTTCGCTTAGATGGTAGAGTACTCGTGCTGATAACGTGTTGTAATACTGATTGTCAATATGTAAGATCGATTTGTAAGATAGATAGAAAAACAAAGGAAGAAGTAGAGAAGAATAAGAGAAAAGAGATACGCCGTTAAAAACCATGATCTTATTCATTCACTTGAGCCCTATATATAAGGGAATACAATGTACATGAGTAAAGACCTAATAGGTTTCTGGCCCATACCTACAAATCCTATATCTAGATAATGCCCACAAATTAATATTTACAACAGTCTCTAATTATTTGTACATCCTATGCAAAAATCAAACAAATGACCCAAATCTCATTTGAAAAAGAAATTCACTCCAAGCCCTTCAACTTGTACCATAACTCATAAACACATCCTCCAAAATCTTGGGGGATAGGACTGAAATCAAATTGTAGACTTTTCAAACCATATCCACCCATTCAAAACTAAATTTTGGAAGGGCAAAATAGACAAATCAACCAAATGTTGTTGCATATTTGAGCCAAATTCGTTTTGAACTACAAAACCGCATACACAGAGCTCGGTCTCTCTCTCTCTCTCTCTCTCTCTCTCTCTCTCTCTCTCTCTCTCTCTCTCGCTCGCCGTCGAGCTTTCGCCGCCTTCCACCGCCAAGGCACGAGCTTTCTCATGGCGTTGCAGATTACATAGACAGTCTTGATCTTCTTGCCTGTTTTGATGTCGACCAATTTTGAGCTGAAACTGTAGGGCGCGCAGAAATCGGAGCACTCGCTCGCCTCGTTGCCATCTCGATTAGTTTTACCTGGATAAACGGCGCAAATCCCAGATTTCGTAGCCATCTTATTTTAATCTCTTCAAGCTCTGAAGGTACATGTGATCCATGATGTAATTGATTTTTTCTTTTAAAAAAAATTAATCAATATGTTATTAATCGAATCAATCAGATTTGGGATTATTGTTTTTCGGTGTCCTCGTCGTGTTTCTAGTTTAGTGAGATATGGGTTTTCAGCCCCACCCCCAATGCATGGAGAAATCACCTTCTCGTTTTGGCAACTGAATTAGGATTTCTGAATTGCTGTAGGGTGTCCCTTGATTTTGGATTTTTTACATTGTTATCTTTGTTTGAGGTTTGCACGTTTTGCTTGTCCTGTTTTGCGTGAGAACTATCTATGTGTCTGTTAGAATATTGTCTTGATGGACCTATTGTGATGACTTCGAGTAGATACCATTAGGAGAAAAAGTGATTTAGAGATGGAAGATGCCGAAAAGCTACCCAGTGGTTCAGGAAACAATGTTCCTGAGTCACAAAGTGAAGTCGCGAACGCTAATGTTGAAAGCAAAAAAGAAAATTTTACTGTATCGGGCAATGTACTCGAAATGGAGAACGGCAGAGAAGATGTAAATACATGTTTAAATGAAGAAAAGGACAGCAACTGTAATAACAAGGTTGAAGAAGAAAGCAATCAAAATACTGTGACCAATGAGGAAGGGTCTGTTCATGAAGAAATCAGTACCAAAAGTGGGAATGTTGATAAAATAAACGTTGATGCAAAAGATGGGCCGAATGGTTGTGGTTCAGTGGAGAAACAAATAGATATCGAGACTGGAGTGGTGGAACAATAATTTGCTATTGTGGGTTGCAAGAGAACCCAAAGGAGAAGGAGATGGACAATGAAAATCATGTGAAGGATGTGGTAGAGAAGCCTAATAAAGATGTTAAAGAGAATAATCCTGAAAAAATCTGCAAACTGAACTCGGATGGTGCTGAATGTGTTTCATTAGAAGAAAAGACAATGGAGACTACTCAAGTGGACCATGAGAAACTTTCTTCAAATGAACCCCCTCAAAGGCAGGAAATGGAGCTTGACAATGTTCAGCACGTTGAGGATGTAGAAACGAATGATGCGGCTAATTTGGATAAAGATGAACGTGACCAAGATAGTCTGATGGGGCAAGGTGTGGAAACAGCTCTTCCTACTGAAACTGATGGGGATGACCAGACTGATGTAGTTGCTGCCAGAAATGAAGGGGATGATGCTTTGCGGCTGAACAAGCACGAAGCTGCTAAAATAGATTCCCTTGGCGTAAATTCTCCTGAAAAGGTTGAAGACATGAGTGGAGATACCTTCAAGTCTTTTTCTACTCAATCAACACTGCCTTGGGTAATACTCTTTTCTTTTTTTCTTTTTTTTTTTTCTGACTAGAGAATAAATGCTACAAATATGAATATATACTGAATTGATCCAAATCCTTTCGAATAAGGATATGAATCTATATTTACATAAATTTGCATTGGTAACATATAATAATTTTTTATTAGATGGAAGAAGGCGGTGATGGAACGCTAGAGGATCAAATTGCATTCATGAAGGAACTTGAGAGTTTTCACAGGGAGAAGGCACTAGACTTCAAACCTCCCAAATTTTACGGGCAGCCACTAAATCTATAATCTATAACTCCCTTTTAAGGATGAGTCATTTCTTGAAACTTTTGAAATGCCAATAATATATTGCCCTCAAAAGAGTTACAATTTAAGGACATAAATGTAATAATATAACTTCATTGTCATCTCATCCAACCACATGTTAAAAGCTGAAATGTCACTACTACCCTCGATAGAAAATAATGTTACTTTCAAAAAGTATTATATTATGTTACTTAAAGAAAGTTATATATTCATGTATTATTCCAAATACATTTAGGGCTCGTTTACTTTGAAGGATAGGATTAGACAAAATAATCCAGGCAACTTTACATGTCAGCTTTTAGTGCATTGTTTACATTGTGTGATTAATTTTTGTGAAAAAAATCCCTCGTTTACTTCCATGAACTATGTGATAGGATACAAAACAAAAGACTCCTATACCCTCCTTTACCCATATGAATCTCGCCAATTGTGTTATCATTCATATGACCAGCACAACAAAAATTATATTTTGATTAAAAAAAAAAGAATGGAAACTGACGAACAAACAGCAAAAGGGCTGATGCAAAAAGCCTCAATTTTGAATTAAAGACATACAAAAATGGGTATCATGTATCAACTTCAGACAGAGTACCCTTTTACCTTCACCCTCAACGAAAACCGAATCAATCGGCGCGAGATTTACTTTTGTCTAAGACTAGGGTTTCTGCAAAAAAAACTCTGAAAATAAAAATTTAATTACCAATACACGAATCCAACATAATCGACAACAACAGATATGGTTTCTTAATTGGGAAATGAAAATCACAAATTAATTGTTGGAGCTCAATCTCGTGTTTGTGCTTCTCCCCGATACACAAGCTTCTGTGTGCAAGAAATTCTGTAAATGGCCCGTTTTCAAAATTTTATATGGCACAAACATGTAAATACATTAATAAAGGGGGTTATTTTAATCTTTTCATGTCAGAATTTAAGGGTAAAGTGGTTATACCAAAGATGGGATAAAAATATCCGAGGGGGAGGGCGGGATACATTTAATCGGCCAATTGCTGATATTAGGGTGGGACCCACAGCCACATGTATGCCACATCACACCAATCTCATCCCATTCCTTTAAAGTAAACATAGGTTAAGTTAGTTATCTTGTCCTATCCCGCGAAGTAAACGACCCCTTAATGCTTATAATATAAGAGCATCTCCAAGAGACTTCTTATTTTAGACTTCTTATTTGGAGAAATAAGGAGTCATCCTATATCCATTTGCTTCCTATTTTCGATTGTTCTCCAAGAGTCTCCCTATTTTATAATTTGAATATGAACCAAACCCACAAATCTATCTAAAAACCCACTTGAAGCCCACTTGATATTGTAATTGTTAACGATTATAATAGTAATTAACTAATTTTATAATATTCACTAATTTTTTTAATTATTATAATTAGTAATTTATTATTAATTATTTTTTATAATTTTTCCTTTATTAATATAATATTATTTCTTCTTAGATTATTATTATTATTATACTAATTGTTATTATAATTTATTAATTTTTAATCAAATAAATTATTTGTTTGAACAATTTTTATTTTTTTATTTTTTTAATTTTAATTATTATTATTAGTAATTTATTATTAATTATTTGTTATGTTTTTTCATGTATTAATATAATATTATTTCTTTTAAAATTATTATTATTATTATTTTTTTTATTTGAAATGGGGGGGTCGTTTTTCCCTCCCCAGAAATGAGGAAGAGAAGCCTCTATTTGAGGTCACCCTAAAAATAGGACAAAGTTTAGGGGAACTGTTGGAGACAGTTTTTGAGAGAAAATCCCTATTTTTGAGATAAAAAGGAGAAATAGGGAGGCTCTTGGAGATGCTCTAAACAGTTAAAAATTGTCAAATAACAATTTAAATTCTAATTAGAATAATTGAAATATCAAAACACATGGCTTAATATAAATTTGTTTCAAATAATTTCAAATAAAATGTTTTAAATCATTATTGTGATGTTTTAATCATGAATGTCACAATTAAAATTGTCAAATAACAATTTAAATTTTCATTAGAATAATTGAAATATCAAAACACGTGACTTAATATAAAATTGTTTCAAATAATTTCAAATATAATGTTTTAAATCATTATTGTGATGTTTTAATCATGAATGTCATGATATAGTACTCAATTTTTTTTCTTATAATATTCTTTCTGTATTTTATAATTAATATTTTTTTTATAATATTAATCTATTAAAAAAAATTGACTGGTATCCAAATTTTTTAATGAATGTAGCGGCACAACTATATAACTAATATTTTTCATGTACAAATATTAAAAATTCTTGTAATGCAAAGTCAATAAAAGAAATAAAAAAAAAATAATCCATTGATATGACCTTTTATTGAAACCAAACATTTATCTTTTAACTGTTTTTTTCCAACGTCATGATGTATTAATCTTTTTTATTCTTATTGTATTATTTTATTATAAATATATTATTCAATTAACTTATGGTTCTCATTGTTTTTTGTTATTTACAAAATGTTTGTATGTTATATTTATAATCAATTTTTTAAAATATTAATGTATTAAAATGTTTGTATGTTATTTTTTTAATTAATTTTTCTTAGTATTAATGTATTAGAATAATTTATGATTTCTATCCTTTTTTTAAGGAATGTATGTCACAACTATATAAATGAGATCTTGCATGTTTTATTTATTTCATTGCTTTTTACGTGCATAAATAATGTTTTATCTACAAAAATGTTTTAAAATATATTTTTCAACTTCACAAATAAGATTTTGCATGTACAAATATGAAAAATTCGTGTAATGCGAAGCCAACAAAAGAATAACTGGACAATTTTTCTTTAAACCAGTTTATGAGGAGGCAAGCCATTCGGAGTTAATGAATTCAAGAAATCTTCATCATAATTTCTATTTGTGTCATCGATGGCTTCGTCAAAGCTGTTAAATATTTTCTCTTCTCCCGTATTCATATTAATTTATTATAATGTAGTGGTCTTGTAACCAACCAAAATAGAGTAAAAAACAATAAATTCTAACTTATATATTTACTTGGTATTCATTTTATTGATTTAATCTGAAAGCTCCAATTACAGTTAAGAAAAAAGAGACGTAACTTTTGGATATTTGCTGTATTTTCATTATTTCTTTTGGATATTTTAGTATTGTGATATTATAAGAAATTATCTTCATCAATGTTTATTTCATCACTATGTATTTAAATATTTACTCATATCTAAAATAAATTACATGTAATGAAGAGTTTATAATTTTCAAATTTTAAAAGTTTAGAACCTTCTATCATTTCAGTAAAAATTAATAATTCCAATTTGATGTCATATAATATGCAACCGTTATAATCAACATAATAGAGAACAAAACATTCAACCATAGTGTTAGCTTCCAATCAACAATAAACAAATGATTATTACAAGTTATAGCTATAGTAAATTGAAGTTATTTTTCAAATAGTAAGACGTAAAAGGAAGACATTAAAAAATATTATTTTGACAATAATAATGATCATAATTATAAACATAAGGATAATATCACTAAATAACAAAATCAAAGACGACATAAATTTCTTTAGCATTTCAAATTTCACAAAAAATATTAATTTTATTTTAGATTTTCTAACCAATATTTTTTATTTAATTTTATTTGTCATAGAGTTCTTTTATATTAAATTTTATATTTTATCATAAAATACACAATTTTTTGTTAAATAATAAAAAGAAAATTATATTGCACTATTTAATTAAATATAATAATAAAAATAACTTTAAGTAAAAAATAATAATATGACGCACATGCATCTTCCTAGTTGACTAGTAAGCATCTCTTGCAGTTAGTCTTGTAACGACTTTGTTATTGGGTATGCTGGATGGGTTCATTTTGTAACTTTGTTGTTTGCTAGGTTATGGAGGGCGGTGATTAAGTTGGGAGGCTACGACACGGTATGCGTGTCTTAACGTTTCTTATGGCCTTTAACTTTTTTATATTTGTACTCTTGATTTACGGGTTAATTTGATGTGCATGCATATAATTGGGCTTATGTATCTTAGAAAATTTTAGATTCTTATGAGGCTTTAGGCTTGAAAACCTTTGGTTTCGCGGACTCATATTGAAGCAAATACTGAAGTATGCTTATAAATTACATGATCTCCAAACTGCATATGCCTTACGGATTTCATTTAATAGAATTAGGACACAAAAATAAAATTGGGCAAGTACAATTCGGTTATTGTTGTGCCGAGCATCTGATACCAAAGGTGTGTCGATATTATTTGTGTCTCGAACCTTGTCTGCAATGTTTGGTTGAATCTTGAATGGAAAATGAAAATGTCCTCTTGGATGAGTTCCATTTGGTATTTTTGATTTAATGGATCTGGATTATCTTATTCCTGTTTCGGAATAAAAATACCATGATAGAAATATCATGAGTTAATCATGCTATATTCCATCATCTAAGACCATTCTTAGCTCGATTAAGAGCGTGAAACATTATAAAATTGATAGGGTACATACATATTCCCATTGATATGCAATCTAGAACAAACTGCAATCTGTTAATATGTTTAGAGCGCTCTTCCCAATCACCTCCTGCATACCCGAAAAAAAATCTAAGTTACCCTATTGACACGGGTCGGGGATCTGTGAAACAAAATAGGTCTATTAAACAAAATAGATGTTAGTGATTCCATTATCTATATTTTACTACTTCAAAATTTTGAAAAATACATGTAATATATACATATAGGATATTTACATGCATTAATGCTTAACGATACATATCTGTAAACGCATGGGTTGGGGATTGCATTTTTCAGGAGGGAGATGGGCATTATATTGGTAAGGGAAAGTGAATATATGTAAAAGGGTGGGGTAGGTTTGTGTAGTGGTGAGGAGATGGGCGCTTCTTCTGTCTATAGAAGTAAATGCAGCTATTTGAATCACTTTGATATTTTATTTGAACCAATTTGGCTTTATTCCA